TCAGATGAAGCAATAAAATGAATAAAATTGCCCATACCCCTTTAAACAAGGTCACAGAATAAGGAAGCACAACATGCTATTATTTTTTCCCCGCCAAGTTATAGTTTGTTGTTACTTCATCTTGCAAGGAGATAGTGCATCAACGATAATAACAATATAAAAACGCTAAATATGGCGCACTATCCGTAACTCGAAATATGCCTGACCCTAACATGGCCGAAACTATTCTTTTGATCTAATATAAAGTAGTGACCTGTCTAACCTATTACACAAGACTACTTCGCAACTAGGCCCACTTCCATAAATTAAAATCTATTATTTATGAAAATCATTATTTCTGCAAAGTATTTATTTTAATCCCTATTTTGAATTTATTTTATATTCTGAGAGGTCCAGAAGGGGGTCCAGAAGGGGGTCCAGAAGGGGGTCCAGAAGGGGGTCCAGAAGGGGGTCCAGAAGGGGGGTCCAGAAGGGGGTCCAGATGAGGGGGTCCAGCTTTTGTACCCTCCCGTTTTCCATGATTGCCGTGTCTATCGAATATGATGTTTCAACAATTGTCGAAATTCATTAATTTAAGAGATTCCGCTTGTCTTATATTGCTAAGTAAGTTGCTTCATAACACTGCACCACTATAGCTAAAGCTATTTTTAAGATAATCGGTACAACAGTCTGTTTCATCAGTAAAGAATCATCAGGCGGTATACCGCCTGATGATTCTTTACTGATGAAACAGACTGTTGTGGAATTTTGAGGTGAGCGAAATACTGTATTTGCTTTATCTTTATGGTATTGAGCACTCTTTGTGTTTCGTATACATAAACCAACTCGTAAACTAAATACTATATAAAAAGATTGCCCTGTTATGCATGGTGGCGACAAAAATAGATTGATTTCATTTTTGAAATGCCTTATATATTTGCATTACGTGCGGGAAAAATAACCATTTTTGAGCCGAAAGTTGTGTATTTTTACCGCGCGTAGTACAAATATATACAAAATTTGCGAACTTCACAGGGCTACATTTTATAACATTTCGCAATCAAACTTTGCAGTTGTACTCATTCTAGATGCTCTTTCTGGATGTGGTGTTAGATTTCGTTCTTCTTGCCAAGTTAAAAATTTACTCTTTCGCTGGAATCACCCATTGAAGTTTACACATTACCTTAATGCGTTGAGACGCAGGTGATTCACCAAATGTTCCATCCAGAAATCCACCACCTGCTCCAGGACTGCTGAAGGATGACATCTGAAAAGATCCAGTCATAATCAGATTAACAAATACATAAGATTTTGCTGTTGTCTGTTCAGTTATAGATACACAGTATGACGTCATAATGTGGAAAGAACAGCCTCGGCGGCTCGTGACCACTTTTTGTTCTTCCCACATTATGACGTCATGCTGTGCATCTCTAACTGAACAAACAATGGCAAAATCTTATCTATTTGTTTTATGTAATAAAAAGAAAAACCCTGAATTAAACAGGTAAATAGCTTAATTTTTATCCACCCAAACATTTCGAAATTTGAAAAAATCAAATTTTACAAATATCATGTACACAGTACATGATCTATACAAATAAGGGAATGCTATTGGCTACCTTAAGTCACATGCTAATTGTTGTGATTGGCTGCACAGAACAAAGTTTTGTCACTTTTGTGTGACGTAATTCTGTGCGTCTGTCCCATAGATATCTTATAAGATATCTATGGTCTGTCCTCTAATAGATCATGGCTCTCGACCAATGAAAGCGCTTGAATTCTTAATGTTATTATATAAATGTAACAAATAGACACATGTATGGACAGTCTGAAATCTTCACCCTTTCACAACACTTTCCTGTTGATAAGTAAAATTTCCTCATTTTAAGTTAAATAATAAAATTGGGCACATTAGGGAATAATGCAACTTAATGAATTAAAATCTCCAGTCTTTTGGGAAATTTAGATTATATATATATAGGATTTCCAAGTAGGCTGGAAATTGTTTTGCTTTTACCGCAATATAAAAAAAAGCAATGCTTTATTAGAATCACTTTTCACACTTGTCAATATATTTTGATAGCTGTTAGTAGCACAGTTTCAATCACAGTATTCAAATTTTACTTCTGCACAATCTTTCAAAGTACAGTATGCAGCTGTGGTCAATATGCTGCTGTCCTCAATGTAGGAAGGAATATTTGTACTAATGAAATAAGTTTTGTATTATGTATAAGAATTTTTGTACATTTTGTATGTTTGATAATTTAGCTGAACAAGCTAAGCTTAGCTACAGTATAGTTTCAATGGGATGAATGAGGATTGGAAAAACCAAATAAATGTTCAATAACAATTCCATCACATTTGTGCACCCTACTTTGAAAGCTCTGTAGTAGTACAGTAGAAATGTATACTCCCAAAAAGCAACTACCTACTTTTGGAGTATAGTACTTTCGCACCATCAGGAGACAAAAATTGCCCAGAAAATTGCTAGTGTGAACCGGCTAACGCTTTAACATTGTCTTATATTCCTAGTGTGTATAGGATTACATAGCAACTTACCTTACTGTCCCCAAATTGATTTCCTATAAAATCATAAAGTGTCATGTTAACCCTTTAAGTGGCAATGCACCCAGATTTTATTATTACACACCCTTTATTATTTTACTCTGTATAGCCCCCGACAATTTTACTCATCAGGGTAAGATTGCTGCCACTCAATGAGTTAATCAGACTATCTGCGCATGATGCACCCTGTTAACCCTTTAAGTGGCAATGCACCCAGATGCACCCTTTATTATTTCACTCTGTCTAGCCTCAGACAATTTTACTCATCAGGGGGAGAGTGCAGCCACTCAGTGGGACAATATCACCACAATACCTGCATGGCGAATGCTTTAGAATAATTTAACTCACATAAACATTTTTACCGACTGTGTCTTATTTCATAGTGCCGGTACCAAATAATTTGGCGTCATGGGGTGATTTACAGTAACTTATAAACTCTTATTAGGCATCATCATCAAATTGCAGTGCCCAAATAGTTTTTTAAGTAATGACCTCTGTCAGTTTATTAGGAATCATAAGCATTGGCATTTATTTAAAAATAGTATGTCTTTGCACTTGTTTTGTGCATGCTCCACAGCATTGCACTTTACACCAGTGCCTAAATACTGCGTCTAGGGGGAGGGAAGAAAAAATTGTTTCTGATAATAGTAAGTGTATTAGGCAAAAAAAATATGTGGGTTTCCGGTTTCCCGACCCCAAGCTTTTGGATGCAAAAATCCCAACCCTAAACTTTTTTATTGGATCATGCTTGTAAGTGTTTCCAATAGTGATGGGCGATTACCGATTACTTGGTATCGATACCACCCGATACCAGTCCCAAGCAGGAAGTAGTCGATACTGCACGGTATCGAAAAAGTGTTTCGATTACTTTTAAAATTAGACATTCATTATAATCCTGTAGTTGTGTCATCGTTTTCATGGTTATTTCTAATAAAATTTATGTACTTTTTTTGTATTCTGCTGCATTTATCAATTTAATCAATTAACTTCCTTTTTCTTTAATGATCTTTATTTGACATTCTATCCTCGCAGACAGAATAAATTATGAAAAAGGCGGGAAATAAAGTAATTTTTGTTTTTTATGGATTAAAATGGCGGATCAAATCGTTACTGTTAAAAATATGCAACTTTCTGAAAATATATTGTTACAGTAGAAGGCTACTTCTTTAACAGTCGGCTCTTTATTAAGTGACTTACATTTATTATTTTGAAAATTGGAGGAAGTAATTGTTTGGGTAATCGATACCTCGATACTTTAACCAAAAAGTAATCGGTATCGTATGGAAACCGATACTGGTGGTATCGCCCATCACTAGTTTCCAATTAGAGGAAAACGTTTGTGGAAAATGAAAATTTGAGGCAATATTAGGGAAATTTATCTTTGGATGTAGAAGCACTGACTAAACAAAATGGCGTCCGGTTGTTAGGAAAATTAAAAAAAAGTTTAAAAAAAAAGTTAAAACGAACCTAAGTTTTTACAAGAAGAAATAGGAAACCCACATTAGGGATGAACCGATTAATCGGTAAATAATCGTTTTACCGATTAATCAGCCATTTTTTAATAATCGGTAATCGGCCGATTATTATCTGATAATCGGCAAATAATCGGCCATAAGACTTTTTCTGCAGCTGCCAAGTGCATGCCTAAAATACTGAATACAAGCGAATATATTTTCACATTTTGTTGCAAAACCTGCATCTTTTGTCTCAAAACCTGCGTCTTTGAGGAAGTCATTAAAAACAGTTAAAACACCTATGCGTTGAGTCATACCATATTCTGTTTTCTGATTGGCTTAAACTAATACTGATATTTGTAATAAAATGCATTGGGGAAAATTGCTCGGAGTTATTTTGTCCAGAACCTAATGGCGCACACTGTGAAAAGCGCAGAACTTTTGGACATATTTTGATATTTTGGAAGATGACAACACGAAAGCAACATTTGTGTAAATTTTACCAGGAAAAAAGCTCTCGAATCGTAATCGTCAGAGGAAAAACATGCAAACAGTTCACCATGACAAACCTTTTCCACTGAAAAACGCAGCAGACTAGCTCCGCATTAAAGCTGACAATATCCTGCGAGATTGAAGCTGATTTTAATTGTACATAGTAGTGTGTATTGTAAACAATAAAACCGCATTTACAACTTCATTGTTGATCATCTTTTCTCTTGCTTTTCAAAATAATCGGCAGGCGCCGATTAATCGGCCGATTAGTTACGATAATCGGCCGATTAGTTACGATAATCGGCTTATAAATACTCGGCCTCAGTAATCAGCAATTTTCCTTATCGGCTCATCCCTAACCTACATATTTTTTTTGGC